CGTCCGTCCGTCCGTCCGTCCGTCCGTCCGTCCGTCCGTCCGTCCGTCCGTCCGTCCGTCCGTCCGTCCGTTCGTTCGTTCGTTCGTTCGTTCGTCTGTTAGTTACCTTTCTATACAACTCTTCCAGGCGTTTTTCTGTCAGAAAATGTGACATGCTGACACCATTTTCCAGAAGGAGTTCGACAAACTCAACTCGATCCTGTAACAAGGCTTCCATCATCGTATTCTCTAAGTCACAGGTCTGCGCAAGAAAATGGGCAAATAAATAAGGGGTTAGGAGTTGGTCGATAGAACCTATTCGTCTTGGCTCAATGTTTTAAGACCCCTTGCATGTGACGTCAAAATAAAAAAATTCCAATCTCCTGAGAATTGGAACCTTTTTTTTGTCTCCAAATTGAGTTGCTTTCCAAAGATTAAGCAAACAAATGATCTCTAGGGAAAGACACGTGGTATGTAATATTGGAAAATAATGCACCAACACAAATTAGGTCTATTTGTGTGGAATCATTCTCTTTTGGTGCATATAATAATGGATAAATGGACAGAATATTGCGTGACAAGGGCTTTGTTTATATTTTTATGTGAATTAATGTCACGTGTACTACTCTTCCCTTCTTTTTCCTCTACTCAATGYTTTACCTTCCACTTGATATCTTCAGCAAAAATCTCTGACTTTGCAATGTCTGCTCGGTCCCAAACTAAAGCAAGGCTGAGTTGATGCTTGGGAAGTGCATTTTGACCTAAACAATATCAATAAAGTACATACACTCAACATAATACTTCACTTTTTTTTTTTTTTTTTTTTTTTTTTGCTGTCAATTCTTCGTAATTTTCAAAATCAGTTTTCTTTGCTCGCATTTTGTCCACACAGCCAGGCAGCGTTCCAGAGTGTTCCGGAAAAGATTTCGATAGGATTTTTTTCAAAAACAACATTGGTGACCCCCAATTTGTATTCTAATAATCTATGAATAGATTTATTTAAAAAAATCTTATCTTGCTTATCGAACTTCTACGTGATGATGATATCATTATGCATTTAAGCGCGAGTGAATGTGATTTAAAAATACCTATTGTTCTGTTTTTGTTTTTTAATTACCTTTCAATAAAGCTCTTAGAATGGCTTTGTCGATATCTAGTGCTCCTTCGTCCACGCTGAAGACTGTGATCTGTATGAGAAAATATTATTGTTATGAATGAATGAACAACTTAACGAACACAAACAATGAATAACTGAATGAACACAAACAATTAACGAATTAACGAAAAAAGAGAGGGAAAGAAAAGAAAGAGGAAGGAAAGGAGAAAGTAAGGTAGGTAGGGAGGAAGGGAGGAAGGGAGGAAGGGAGGAAGGGAGGAAGGAAGGAAGAGAGGAAGGGAGGACGGGATCAAACCCGTTGTTTGGTTGGTCGATCAAATCTCCGGTTGCTTCAAGTGGATGAGTGAGTAGGTGAATCGTGTAATGATTGTGATCATAATATTCGACTTGCATTGGACTTACGTATTCTCGTTTAGCTACGCACTTCAGTACACTTTTGTAGAGCGCTAAACAGCCTTTAGGATCACATCCAGGGAAAGCTTTCTCAATCTTATGCAGCAGTTGACGATGCTCAACTACATCGGCCACGTTTGACATTTCCCTGTACAAATAGTAAAATGTTATGATTGGGAATTCAGTGTGTGTTTTGAGGTATTTCCGGTAGCTCCCCGTTTTTTCTTAAATAAATTTTTTCAGTTGGTTATTGCCTGCAGTGGCTTAATTGAGAACCCCACCCACCCCCA